CCCTTTTGTAAATGACGTATTTCTTGAATAAATAGCCCAACTAGCTGTTATACGTTAATTTAACAAAATGTGTTCATCAAGGTCTTTAAACAAACATTTTACGTCAGCTTAAGTTATTTTATATAATATCTAACACGAAATACATCAAATAAAATAATACCTGTATACTTCTGTTTCTTTAAATCTATACTGTATATCCCTGCAATTCATTTATAATTCTTGTCGTAAGTACGTTTAATGAAGCACTGCAGGGTAAGCGACCACGTTTAGGATACTCAGAAACCGTCGATGTTGAGAATACATAACGAGCCTTGGTGGGCCTTGCATAGTATCTTGCATAAAACATGGGACCAGAATGTTTTAGAACATCTGCATTAACAGATTTGACTCTGTATGAAATTTTGTTATCCTTTTAATAAAACCTATAACATGGCTGCCATTTATGACTCGTTCGTTTGAGTTAGGGTTTGTGGCAATGTGTTCTACTAAGGGTTTAATTTTATGCTAAGCTTAAAACTGCTATTTAAAACTTTCGACTCCTCGTGGGGCAGGATAGGTCAATGTTAGGAAAGAAAGATAACTTTACCGCTGAATTTGTCAGAGCGGAAAACTAATCCCCTGTTAATCTTTGGACGAAATCGTTGAAGATCGAAGTGAAAGAAGACTCCTGGCAACTACAGTGTGTTTTCCCGCTAGAGACTTTAATGTGATATGCTTCTAAAAATAATAAACCGAATGCATACAAGATGCATGTGTAAAACTTAAAAGTAACTTAAAAACTCTTAAAAGTATGTAGGTCCAAATAACCTGATTTCCTTATTTACGTATATATTTAATTTTGTAAACGAAAATGTTATAGCTCCATAACTCAAATAGAAAAATATAAACTTGGTTAAACTCCTTGATATCGTTGAAATAATACAGAAACTAGATTAATCAATAATAACGCTCATTTTCCTTATGACCAAGTTTTTACCAGCTAATTTTACAAAGCATTTTTATGTTAGATATTTCTTGATGTGATACTATATATATTGTACTGATGTAATAGAGGAGCGGATAGTTAAAATTAATTGAAAGACTGTAATATTTTGTTTGACCATATTTTATAATCTGTAAAATTAGAGGAAGTATTACCTACTTATTTTCGTATATCACCTAATTATAATTCAATTTATCCTAGGTAAGACTTTTTTAAGCATTATTTACATTGAATACATACTTAAAGATAAGTTGTTGTAAAATAAGTGTTATACTTTTTTTATTACATAACCCATTTCCATGGCATTCAAACTTTGTAATACACCATGTTAAAGTTAATTCAAATCATTAAACATTATTCAAAACATACTTTTATCTTATTGTTAATATAACCATAAACGAAGTCTTAACATCAATTCCATAATATAATAAATAAAACCTAGTATAGTAATAAAAGAAAAAATATGTTTCTTTAAGTCACTCTACGAATGTCTCTTTTGTTCTTTAAGTAAGTCCACTTAGGTCTGTAAGACCTTACATTTAGGGGTTGTTAAAAAGTTGTACGTGACTAGCCTATCCAACAACCCGACCACGTCACTCTTGAACTAATTTTAGAACTATTTATGGTGGTATACAATTGTAGGTTCAATTTGACACTTTTTCGTGTCCCATGATAAATCCATTTCCTTATTTTGCTTTATGAAATAACAATTTTGAAATAAAATTATAAACAATTTATATTAAAAAGTAAAAGGATTGTATCATTCGACAAAAAGTTCTTCGTACATGAAAAATTATCTCTGCATTAATATGTTTAGTAATTTTTAACTTTGTTTATTACATTTTATTATAATCACGTATTGAAGCCTGATTGGAATAAAACATCAGCAATGACATATAAAGAGTTAAAAATACGATTTATATTTTTCTAGCAATTTTTAAGTTATAATTTTGCAAAACACGTAGGCCTATTCATGTATTTTTTAAGTGTTTTTATTTCAGCATGTTTTTTTTATGTTGTAATTTCCGCAATTTATTATAGGCCTATATCATCCATGGAATTGCATCCTGCCGTACCACATCAACGCTTGTATAACGTACAGTTTTAAAACGGCAATATGAATTATCAATAGTTATTGGACACAGCTCCCTTCTTAAGAATTTATAGTTTTCACAAAATAACTACGTAGGCCTACCACTTATTTACTGTTACTAGAGGACGTCCAGTGGTCGAAAACTCGACCAAAAATATATTAATGAAATTTAATTAAAAAAATAATAAATTGAATAAAAAATTCTTAATTATTTAGGCAAAGTTAGGGCTACATGGCCGTTTCGTACACTATGTAATGTACCTTATTAACACCATACTGTAAATAAAACATGTGATAGGAATTTGTTTAGATTTTCTGTTTATATTTTGTTGTTATTTCGTCACCATCATGGCAACCCATAACTCCCAGGTTATTTTTTTAGTTTTAAATTCATTTTCTGTGCTCTTTTTTGAGCCTATTTTAATTTATAAAGGGATTCTGCACATCTACAAAAAAAATATCTTTCCAACAGTATGCGTAGATTTTCCCTCCGATGCACAAAAGCTGAGAAAAATGTTTTAAAGAAACATGCTTGCCTATTAATATATAGATAGATGGTATCACAACCGAATAATACACTCGTGTTTTTGAACTTGTAGTCATTGACGGTTTTGTTTCAGAATAAAATAATTTCAAATAAAAATAGTATACCGTTATCAAAAAACATATAGTTAAAATTTCTCATCAAGACGGATCCAAGTTTTTATTCTAATAAACTGTTCATCTTAATTTGCTAGATTTTTTCCCGCCAAAGTTTCGCATGATAAAGATGAGGTTTTGTCTGAGTGCTGGGTGATTCCCGCCATTTTTGTGGTCGACGAAGCCTAAAGCCGGTAACCGAGCTTAACAGTAATCCCCACGTCCACACTTTGCCTTTACCAGCCACATAAACACTCTGTATACATTTCTTGTACAGTATTTTATACACTGGGATTGTTATTTATACCCAAGATTTTTTACTTTTTCTTTATGTAATATACCTGCTTGCTGTTCACCGCTTAATACTTTACATAAGTAAAAAATACAACAATAGTGTAATATAAATGGTGATGTTAATTATATACATAAATTATATTGTTAATTTATGTAATCTAGGCCTTACTAAACTAAAGTGTTCTAGATCTGCTAACTAAACAAACAAAAATAACACTAGATTACCAAAATAATATCGTTACGCTCGTCTTATTTAAATTTCAAGAAATGTTAAACCCCCTTACAGGTAATACAAAACTATAACATTTATATATTTATCCTAAATAATTAAGATGTCCAGTTCCGTGTGTCTTAAAGATTTTTATAGATATTCTATCAACTATTCAGCTTATAATAAAGGGTATTGCGTTCAAGGAGATCTTGAAAGGTGACACATGGAACTAATACTACACACAAACAAAACGTTAATGGTTTTTATTATAGGCAAGTTGTAAAGAGATGAGACAAAATATTCGAATTACAAAGAATATTTGTATTTCATAGAACTGTTATGTACGTGACAACATCGTTCAATATGGCCAAACTTGGTTATCAGTACTCCCAAGCCCCAGTTTGTGACCTGGAGATGCAGTATAATCTTCAACCTCTTCGCATTAGACACAAGTTCCTGGATCTTCTCTTCTTATACAAAGTAATTAATGGCCTCATGGACTGCCCAGAACTTCTTAGTTGCATCAACTTCCCTGCACCAAGAGGAACACGCTCCAGATCCATATTCAAACGGCAGTTCTTCCCAACATATTATGCTTACAACAGTGGGATATCTCGCCTACACCGGCTAGGGAAGGAAGTTGGAGCTGATGTCGACTTTTTTGGCGTCTCAACACACGTCTTCAGATCGAAGGTCATCCAGCTCCTTATCTAACTATTCTAGTCACTAGTTACATAACTTCAAATTTTATTATCTCCCTGTTGTTGTTGTTGTTTTGCTGTTGTTTTGTATCTCTGTGTCATTAACTGTTTCTTGTTTCTCAATGTAGTCAGGCTTCATACATAATCAAGTGTCCTACAATTTATTATTTTTCATTTCTTCATTGTTTTATTTGTCAATATCAGCCATGTTTGTAACATCAATCACTTACACTTACTTGATCTAGTCAAAATTGTTGATACTATTATTGTTAATGTGTTTAAATCTCTTTATGCTTTTGTTATTGTTATATTATTTGTTATTTATTGTATATTTATTACTAGAGTAGTTACTGTTGCTCAATATTTTGTGGCCTATTAGATACAACATGTAACATACCATATATTCGCTGTAAAATGGTGTAACCGTTGGGAGGAAATAAATAAATAATAAATATGTTATTGGATATAAAAAACATATTATTTGTGGAGAAAACAGATCCTTAAAAAGACAAGCTTTGTACCTCAGTGACCAATTCTCGTGGGACTTAGCCAGATGGAACAACATATATCAGACGAAAACAGATTTCTGCGAACTTAAGCGGCCATCATAACTTGATAGCAAAAATAACAAATTTCTCAATGAAAATTGCGGCCAATAACCTACACTTGGTTGGTTAAATAATGTTAAAAAATAAGGAGAAGATTTATATTTTAATTATTTTAGATACATATCAAATAAAACATTGGGTTGTTTTAAATTAAATGTAATTTTGCTTATTCAACACAGTCGGTTTTTTTATTGATCCAGTTAGTGATTTTAGTGAAATTACCTGGAATTAAGTCGAATTATCAAAACTTATAAACAATTACAATAATAAAATATGAGTTAAATTTTGTTTCTATAATAATACTAAACCAAAATAAATTAAATATTTTTTAAGTTTAATAATATTAGATAATATTTAATAATAACGTATAATAATAATATACGTAATAATAATAAACGTAATAATAATATAATATAATAACGTAATATTAGCTCTAATATTTAGTTTTACTAAGCCTTTTGCTTTGTTGCAGGTGTAATGAACGCCATATTCATGACTTAAGGTAAGTTTAAAATTGCAATTGATTGATGATTTATAATTTAAGTTAAGATCAACTTAAAATCCCGAGACCCTTGTTGCCAATCAGATATAGAGAAAGAATGGTTAACAAAAGTTGCTTCCATCAATACTCATTTTTCACTACTCTATGTACAAAGATACCTCATACGTTTGCCCGGACTATATAAAACTTGTCAATTTCCAATCTACCACATCTGATTCTGTTTGTCATAAACATTAATTTTATTTTCCCAAATAAACGATGTTTCCGGTCAGCACAACAAGTGTGGCAAAGCCATAACATTTCCCAAAAGACTGTTTGTAACAAATTTAATTAATACCAGATGTTGTGAATATAAAATTACTCTACCCTCTTGAAATTAACCGTGATGAGACTAACCAGGTGTGTTGAAGTAATTTCTCAAGTGGCCGGAGTGTGGCAAAGCCATAACATTTCCCAAAAGACTGCTTGTAACATATGTAATTAATACCAGATGTTGTGAATATAAAAAGAAAACAATTGAGTGGTACTAGTTGAACAAATAGCAAGAGGATGATGTTAACTGAAACTTAAACTACTGTAATTGTCAAAAATAAAACTTATTTCATGCTTCCACATTTATATACTTACTTAATTTAGAACAAAACTTATAAATCCGCGACAATAAGTGCACTAATGTATGAATGATTTTTTTTATCTGTACTTTTAATAAATTGCAAGCATATTCCATGACAACCTTAAACAGAAATACAAGACTAGAACAACATCTTTTTTGAACCAAGAATCTTGATGAAAAGTCTAGTTCACTACCGGACTGGTTTCACAAAAGGTCCATTTCGGGACTCAATAGTTTTTTCCACTCAATAGTAAACTACTTGCTTCGGAATGGATTACTTTAGGAGTATTGAAATATTTTTTTAATTTTACTATTTTCCCGGTAAATTGTAAAAAAATTCTCTCCACCTATTAGGCACTATGGTTTGACTGATTGGTTTGTGTATAAATAAATATTTTTATGTAAAGTGACCGAAGGCATGATGGTTTTGGTGATGTTTCTGGAATCGAACTCAAATCTAAAACCCTAATCCGTAGGCTAGCAGCAGGTTTATTCGAATAAATTGGCAGCCTATCATTTGTTTTAGTTTGCAAAAGAGATCATAATGATGCCAAACAACGTGCAGATAGAAGACTTGTAGGATAATGTATTGAGTACTAACCTCTCCTCTTGATTATTTATGCAAGGCGGTAAATGGCATCTTAAGAGGCTGTTGTGAACACAAAGCTTCTTATGAGATGAATGAATAATTCAAGGGTGATGAAGATAGTAGTTTATCTAAGTGTTATACTGAAGGTCACAAAATCGGCATAAAATAACTATCTATTATAGATGTTTTACTATGTTACATTTATGAGTTATATTTTATAGGATGTTTGGAATTGGAACCGTATATTTCAGATGTGAATAAAAATGTTAATGATGGTAAAGGTTTTGAAAATTTGACAAAATTGTGAGTAATCAATTTAACATCAAAGACAATGTTTATCGGTAAATACAAATCTAGATTGGTTTTCAGTTACCATCATCAACATCATTAAAGTATATTTGACTAAGTTATGGCAAAATGTTTACGAATTTGATGACAGATATATTTTAATTAACAGATTTAAATGAGTGTTATTCCTCAAAACCATCTTTAAGTTTACTCCTCAATAAAGGTTCAACATTTAGTCTTGAGTCAATAAGGATGATTCTTTGGGAACCATTCATGTGGAATAACACCACTCAAATTGAATGGGTATTGGGATTTTATCGATTAAGAAATTTCTTTGAAGAGATAATTATGATAAAAAGAAAACCGAGCATTTCCAAAATAAAACCTTAAGTTATCCAAAGACCCTTTGTAAACTTTTTTTTTATAAATGCTTATTCTTTATTGGTTTATGTATATAAAACCAATTTTACGCAATAATATACCTTAAACTTACAGTTTTTCTAAAACAGTAAAATTGTCTCTTCCCAGTATCCTGTGTACTCAATCTATACTCGCAGATTTTTTGTATAATCCTAAATAAACATTGAGTTGGGGTATCGAACGGTTTACTTGAAATATTACAATAACTTTGGAATTTATCTGAATTAAAGGTTCATTTAGGATACGAGAATGGTTTCACTATTTGAATTTTAGTAAAGTTTTGATTTCTGCCAAAGAGTGTTTGGTACTAAATACGTATTGCTTGTCAAAACCATACCTTTTAGACATAAGAACTAAGGAAACAACGATTACTGCTATGTAACTAAAAGATGACGTAGTCAATGATAAAATGTGTCACTTAACTAAACCACTGTATTTTGTGATAAAACTAATTGGATAAACGAATAATCTGTTGCTTCTCAAAATATAAATACATTATCATGAATAAATGCACGATTAACAGCAAAAATATTCGGTTTTTAGTAATAGTGATTATTGGTTTTTTTGGTGACATCGAGTATAAAAAAACTTATGTTAAACTTGTACATTGTTTTCCTGCCATTTTACCTCACGTCGAGTATCAAAATATTTCATCTACAGAACCTCAAAGAAGGTTTTGCACCCTCCGGAAATTTCTAAGGGGTAACCGAAGCCATAGTATCAAGGATCTATTCAGTAACATAGTAGGGTGGTCAACATCACCTGTTTCCCCTCTTTCCATATCCCTTCTTAACACTTCACTTAGTTGAAGAGGGTTTGAAAATAGTATTCTACAAACTATTTAAATACTTAAACATATTTTTAAAATAATAACATCCTTGCATAATCTTGTCGATGTATTTTTTTAGCAATAGATGAAATGTATATTATGTATTTAGATTAAATTGAGACTAAGGGTAATGAATAGAAATCTTTTTTAGTACCTGGTTTAATTTTACATAAATATGTATAATATATGTCCTTGTTAAAACTAATTAGTATCAACTATTATAAAATATAGAATAATAATAAGTGATTAACATGTATTTCGCAATACTACTTAAGTTTATACTAATCAGATAAAAGTGATATAAATTGAATGAACACAAAATGAGATTCATGTTTTATGTTACAGAAAACTGAAATAGTCTTTCCAATTAAGTCGTCTTGGTAGACTATTTTCAAAGAAACATTTTTAGACTATATAAATAAACTCACTCTTTGAACTAGCTAAACAACTACGTCTCTTGGATACGATGATAATCTTAGTCTTTAAATATAAATATCTGCTTACATTCTTTATAATTTACTTTCGATTTAAATATACTCAGACTATAATATAAATGTCCCTTTTTCTAGACACTCACATTAACAAATTCGTTTTTAAAATGTATTTTTGATTACCGAATTTCCAATATTCTCAATATTATTAGACAAAGCTTACACAAGCGTGTAATATAGTTGGCATTAAAAATATACGTACACGATTTGATAGAAGAAATGTTTTATATCAATATATGTTTTATAGAAGTGTAGCAAACCACATTAAAATTTATTAGTTAAATCAGGAATCCATTTGCAGGATCGTTTGATGTTATTGATAATTTGCTAATTACTGACTGATATTGATCCATTATTTATTTAAATTATTTTACGTCGGAATATCTGTACAAAAAATACACGTAAAATGTACGGTAGTTTCAGTAAAATATCAAGCTTTATTTAGAAAATAATCTGACTAAATCGTTATCAATACCATACAGTGGGGAACAAAGGTTGGATCAAGCGTTTTTTTATAACTCGTTAACGGAAAATTTACAAAAAATTATTTAAATTTAGTTCTGATAAATATACGGAAAATTTACTTGTTCAGCCTCAAATTTCCCTGGAAAATAACTTTATTAGCTAATTAATTTGTTAAACAAAATAATGAAATAAGTGAGTTTTGAACAGTCATTTTAATTATTCTAATAAAAACCCTTCTTACCTGGTAAAACACCTTTTCTAGGGGGTCACATATTTTAATATGTTATCAAAAAGAATAATAAAGTGCATTTAAAATCGTCAGATCTTTTCTGACTAAATATTTTACACTGATGTTCTAAGAACAATGTTGGTTTGTGGTTATATTTTAATTACTCAGTAAAACTTATAAACTTAACGGAACACGAAACTTCAATCACGTAATATGGAATATTAAATGAATAAAATAATGTAAGAAATACTATAAGGTGCGTTTGAAAATTGTTAATGTCTATATTTAAAAATATGCAACTTTCAAATACAAAAAAATTAAAATCTATTACGAACGCTTCACTGATATAGAGTTTGAACTTAATTTATGTAAATGTTTAATAAGATTCGCGTTTTATACAAAAGAATTTCAACATTTATCAAACACTAAGCTGCAGTTGACTTAAAATGATTTTTTTGTATTATTTCATATTTTATAGAGTAAAAAATATTTGTAACAGTCCACAAAGTCAAATTAACTGTTACGTTACCGAAAGCTGGGAATCATCCAAAGTTTGTTGGTTAAAGTTGAACCGTTTTTGTGGTTTGTAAAGCCTGATGATGAAAACATAGCTTAACTCTAATACCCTAAAACACTTTGACTTTTAATCGCCTTATGAAATATGCACAGTAATATATACACTGTATGTTTCTCCAAATAAATGTTTATATTAAATATTTTCTTTTTTACAATTTATTCAGGTTTATGATTATCTAAAAACAAAATAATGAATTAACATGTTGTTATACATGATTGTATTTGTTCTATTGTCTTGAAATAGTATTGTAAAATTTTTTGTATGGTTTTTACATACATACCATTCTTCCTGAGTATTTTTGCAAACGGTGTCTCCTTACTATCTTGAAGATCATATCCGTTCCCTAAATACCCTAACGTAATCAATGGCATGTTTTCTTTGCGCTCCTACATATAGACCTGGGCCTTGTTTCTTTTTAAGTTTATAAAGATCAGCCTGTAATCGTTACTATCTTGATTATTATTATAAGTAATTGTTCAAAAGCAGGATAGGTAAATTA